GCTTAAAAACCACTGATGCATGTATTATCTCCTTTGAGTCACAACATCTTTATTTTTTCATGAGGAAACAGATTATGGGAGGACCCAGAGCCTGAAATACTAAAGCCATGCTAAAGTGAAGGTCAAGCTATTCTGGCCTGGCCTGCTAAGAATAGAATGGAGGAGAGAAAATGATAGTGTAAGTACATGATATTGAATAGTTGCAAATCTGCCAATGAAATTGGAGATGCCACACATGAATCAGAATTCATCTCATATAAAAAAAAGTTAGATGACATTAACTAGTTACTGTCATCAATAACAGGAAAGCAATGTAGAAATTTTTCCTAAGTTGATATGATCCTATTGACAGGAACAGCACATGTTAAAAAAGTTTTACTGATAGTATAGAAAAGTAAACAGAAAACTTAGTTTCTAAGTAGGTAGCCTTTTTTGTTGTTTGCTTTCAACAATGCAAAAAAATTAAATTTAGAACTGTATTTTTTAACCCATAGAATTTCTGGTTACTTATGTAAGCAGATGTAGAAGCTCCGTGTCTAACGTAAAGTCATGCTAAAAATAGAAAGAATTTTCTTTATGTCCATCAGAGAACACTTCTTTTGTTTTTGACTTAGACCCCATCTGAGCAACTACTCAGGTTTTCAATATGAGCCATTCTAGATAGCATTTACAGGAGAGAGAATCCAGTTAGCCTGGTGAGCAGCAAAATAGAGGAAGTTTTTGAGAAACCTCATTTGTGTTAACCTACAACCAAATGTAACATCCATCTTAATAGTTAGACATCCTTATATTGTTCTGAACCTATCCTTAACATGGGTTTGACTCTATGTTTCTCTCCTCCCTTACTTCTGTGACATGCAGAAGGGAAAGGATGTTTGTTATTCACACATTCATACCTCACTAACTGATGTTACACAACCGGCTTCCACTGGAGAGCCCCTGACATCGCAGGGAACGGTGATCAAAATTCCATACACTAGCTTCAAGCTGGGGGCTCGTAGCTACTGCAGCTTTGAAAGGGAATCTTTTCCTGGCTTCTTTAAAATAAGCATGGTGATGGGATGGTTTAAGGGAAGAACACCTCTCAAATCACATGACCACTGCTGCGCTTCCGTGTGTCCTGCTTTCTTCATAACAGCTTGGCACTACATTCTTTCCCTGTATCTTAGTGGGCTTGTGTGTACAAATGGGGTAGGAGGTGGGGAGGTCCGTGGATAATTATACATTATGCATGCATCTTTCACTGTTAGAGTGATGTGCCTTCCTTTATATGTCACAAATTATGGTCACAGATGAGATCTGTGTCCTAAGAGATTGGGCCATCTCTCACTTTTTGATGTGAGAGTTGTGTTTTGGTGTGTTTTGATGTTTACACCCACAGTTCTTCATGTTCATTACATGTAAGTGGAAATGTTCTCCCATAAGAGTTAGCTTTTCATGTTGGGCTGAAAAAGTCTTCATTTCTGTGTAGCAATTCATGTTATTATAACCTATGGCTTTCAATTGTACCTCCCATAATGAAGAGCTGACTTTAAACACTGTGCTATTCTTGTTATGACCTAAGCATAAGGTAAGTGATTTCTCTAACTGTATTTAAAGATTGTGGTTGTTTGTTAAAATTATCTCACCTTTTTTAAAAGGCATTTTCACTTTTGTTCCTCACCATTTATTATGTGCTCTCCCTTCTGTTCTCTGTCTCATATCTTAAGATTTTTTAATGGACAATGTGATCTTCAGTGAAAATTACATTACACATGTAAACATATGTTGAAATGAATTATTTGATGTTTCAAAGAAATCCTGATTAGTAAATGAATACCTCTGTCTTTAGTAAATCTCTTGTGTTTTTAATTTCCTCCATTGGCTTTAATATAATATGCTGTTTATACATTTTATTTTACTTTTGATCCAACTGAAAAGGTAATTAATTTGCCAACACCATAAAGTTAGATGTTAATTATAATCAAATAACATGTCCCAATAGAATAAAATAGTAAGTAATTTTATACCATATCATTCAGTCTTTCATTTTAATCTCTGACAGCTTTTATAGTAGGTCAAAATCTTAGTTTTATTTTGTTTTCAGGCTTTCCTTTTTTTCTCATTAATAAAGCAATGGTAAGAGAAAAACAAAAAAACTTGAGACAGATTCTGTTCTCTTCTTTATATTCCATATAAGTGAGAACAATAATTATAGTTATATTTCAATTTAATTCTCTGAACTAAATACCATTACATTGTGAGTTAGGTAAAATCTTTATATTGAGATTTAATGCTGCGATTAAGTGTTATGAGGATGATCAGTTTCATAGTACAAGATAGAAGTTCATTTGTTACATGCATAAATAGTAAACAAAGTTTTTTAAAGCTTGTTTTCTTTAATGGATATAAATATACTCAAGATAACTAAAGTAAAGTAAATTTTACAATTAATTGATTTTAAAAGTGATAAATAATTTCCCCAAATCCGATTCACATAGCCAATGTAATATAAGTGGGAAAACATTGGTTATACTGTTGTGAATTTTGTTCAGTGCCCAGATTCAAATAACAATTTTCGTCACCCAAACTTTTCTAAATAAAACTGTTTTAAGTATATTTATTTCTAAACTAAGGTGCCACAAAGCAACCCTTGGATGTCTTTATTAAATTCATGTTATGAATGTTTCTTTTTTATTTTAAGCCACTTAAGGTTGTTTTGCTGTTGTTTTGGTTTGGTTTGGGTATTTTTTGGTAAAACCAGCTAGGTCCTCACTATCATCTCAATTATATACATTATTCAATGTATATAATAAACATATAAATCTGTTGGGACATTTTATAAGACAATTTGAACTACTCATCTGAACTGCTTTGTTCATTGTAAATCTCTTGTTTCTATCCATACACTAGCTCCACTCTAGATTGGAAGGGCTTAAAGATGAACTCTGGAGGAATAGAGGCTACGACTTAAGAGTAACTATTACTGATCAAAGGAGCTACTTTCCATTCGCAAACATTGCTTTGCGCTATGGGTTTGGGCTCCTTCTGTTTCTACATCTTGTTGAAGACTTTCTTGACTTCCATTTGACTTCTTTGAACTCTGTTTTTTGTCTTTCAACATTTTCCTCTTTTCTTTTCTTCTCTCTCTCAGATTTTTCTCTTTTAGCTTTTTCTTGTGTTCCTTGAATCACTTTTTAAAATGTAGTTTCTCTATTAAGCTTGTCCATTAATTTGTCTACTAGTGTTTGTTTCTTTTCTCCTTTAAGGCTGTAGTAGTATAGTTACACTTATTTTCATTCCATAGTATGCCAACTTGCTTATTTATTTTGCAGCAAGTTCATTAGTCATCCTTACCCTCTTGGTATGAATTTCCAATAAAAAAAATAGCAGAACATTTTCCATGTACATATTATCCCCTTCTATAAGCTCATACTTTCTTTATACCATCTAGTTTTACACCCTCAAACTTCTTTCTCTTCCTTTTCTTTTCCTTACTCTAATGTCTTCTTCCCTGTATTGTTTTCTTTAAATAGTCATGAATTTATTCCCCATTTGGTCCAGAATTGTTCTTTAATATGACTTCTGAGTAAAAAGCATATAAGAATCTTATATTCTAGTTTAAATTCTTCATTCTAGTATATTTAAAGCTAATTGAACAATCTGGGCCAAAAGAGAATAACTTAAACATATGATATTATTTTGTACCCCCCCACTTTGTTGGTGTGTGTGTTCTTTTTCTTGTGTGTGTGTTTGTGACATTTTTATTGTTGTTGTTTATTTAAACATTAACAATTGTTTTTTTCAGGGAAGGACAACCATAACCCACCCTAAGTTGCAACATTCCTTTCATAAATTATTTCATTACAATAGTAGATTGTGTTAAACTATAGAAGTTAATTTTTATATATATATATCCATTTGGGGCAAGCTGCTGGGGAGTGGGAAAAGGAGGTATGGAGTTTAAATACAGTTTCCACTGAAATTAACAACGTTAGTGCTATCCAGCATGGCCCTTGAATACAACAGTTTTACAACATTCAAAAAAATGTTCCATATTGACCTAAATACTTCAAAGCACAAGGATTTCTGACTGATTATGTACACACCTATGAATTAATAAATGAATGAGTTCAATTTAATTGATTTCCAACAAAATCCATTTTTCATAACCAATGCTATAATAAATCAATGTAATCAATAAATGACAAAAATTGTTAGATCAAAAGTAAATATTGCCTATGAGGATTTCTCTATTTTTCCTTCATTAACATATACACAAATATTGCTATAATAGAATATTTGAGTATAACTTTGTTACTTGAATTTCATTATTATTCTGGTCCTGAGATATACTAAATACCATGATATTAAGGGTATATATTCAAAACTTAATATGCAGTAGCTTGAATTTTTTTCCATAAATAGTCATCCCTTGGTTCCAAGACCCCCATGACACCAAAATCCTCAAATGCTTAGTCCCTCATATAAAATGGTATAGTATTTGCATATAATGTGCACACATTCTCCTGTATGTTGGAAATAATCTCTAGATTACTTACAATACCTAATGCAATGTAAAAGTTTTGTAAATAGTTGTTTTACTGTATTGTTTAGAGAAAAATGTCAAGGAAAAAATAGTCTGTATATGTTCAGTGCAGAGACAAGTAGTTTTCCAAATATTTTTGAGCCATAGTTAGTTGAATCCATAGATATGGAGGACCAACTATACTGAACTCAAATACACATGAATTTTTTAAAAATTACCTTTGATTTTTATCTCTGTCCAATTTATAATATTGCAACCTACATTTCTTTTTCTGAAAATAATTTATTTCTTTAAAGAAAAGATAAACTTGAAAATATATGGAACAAATATAACATATTTGTATTAATATGTTATGAGATCTGAGATATATAAAGCCTTTACTCCTAGACCTCAGGAGCTTGCCCATTAAGTATGCGTATCTGGCTATCCATGTTTTGAGCCCTAAATTACTGAGTGAATGCTCTTTCTGCAGGTCCAGTCCAGATGCAGCAGCAAGGAGAACATTCTCAGAGCCAGTAAGTATTTCATCATTTTAGAGCGGACTGTAGAACTAGAACTTGTGGTTCAACAGAAAGTAGAACTGCAAATGAAATTTTAGTGAGATTGTGAAAATTGATGAGAAAGTCTTTATCAAAAGTATGAATGTTAGGGTTTTCAACTTTCAAAAAATATTAACATCATTATATTAATGAGTAGTTCCTTTAGTCACTTTTACGGGATGATAACAGAACTTTGATACACTCCTAGGGCAGGAATAAACTTCTTTGTGATTCTAAATGAGCCCACTTTAATTTCCACACTGCCAAAATGTTATTTGAAAACAGAATAACTGGGGGCTGGCTCTGTGGCACAGTGGGTTAAAGCCCCAGCCTGCAGTGCCAGCATCCCATGTGGGCACCAGTTCAAGTCCCAGCTGCGCCAGCCTCTGATCCAGCTCTCTGCTGTGGCCTTTGAAAGCAGTGGGAGATGACCCAACTCCTTGGGCCCCTGCACCTGTGTGGGAGACCTGGAAGAGGTTCCTGTTCCTGGCTTCAGATCTGCTCGGCTTTGGCTGTTGTGGCTATTTGGGGAGTGAACCAGTGGAATGGAAGACCTCTTTCTCTCTCTGGCTCTACCTCTCTCTGAAACTTTCAAATAAATAAAATAAACTAACAACAACAACAAAAAAGAGTAACTGAAAATAGTAATAGTGCAAATCCATTAAATGAGGCTAAATTAGGGAGAGAAAGAATATGTGAGTCATAAGAAGGGTACATCATAATCATTTTGTGACTGAATTCCAATAAAATCCTACCTTCACAGGCAGCATGTTTTAGAACAAAATGTGCTGAACAAAGAGTGAAAAATTCTTGATTTTATTTTTTGGTTCAGGAGTCACTTAACTTTGTGTTTTATTCATTCTACTGGTTAGTTTTTCTTTTTCTTTTTCTTTTTTTTTTTTAAGATTTGTTTATTTACTTGAAAGGCAACATAACAAATGGGAGCGTGAGGGAGAGATCTTCCATCTGCTGGTTCACTAACCAAATGGCTGCCAGGGTCAGGACTGGACCAAGCTAAAACCAGGAACCAGGAGCTTCTTCCAGGTCTCCCAAGTGGGTGTAGGGCTGCAAGGACTAGGGCCATCTTCCTCTGCTTTCCCAGGCACAGTAGCAGGGAGCTGTATTAGAAGTAGAGCAGCCAAGACTCCAACTAACATCCATGTGGGATGCCAGCACTATAGGTAGCAGCTTAGCCCTTTATGCCACAGTGTCATCCCCCATTCTCCTGTTTTATAAAAAAACAAATTAAGTAGCTTCTCCTTACTTGTATCCTTGAAATGATGTCAAATTTAAAGTTGTGCCTTAAAAATTTTGGTATCCTAAAAGTGCTATATAAATTTTAATTACTTTGTTGCTATTCTTTGTCATTTAATAGCTTATTGCTATCATACCTTCTTCTTCCTGATCTTTATTAAAAGAGAAATACAAGTCTACCATTTTGGAATGGGTCTACTAGGTACACTACTGAGAGATTTAGCAAATGGAACAATTTATATTTCCAGTAGAATGTCAGTATTATTTAACAGTCAAAAATTAACTGGAGATCTTCAACTAGGTAAAAAATATAATCCATGTTTATTTTAAGTAGTGTGAAAATTTCTCATTTCTGTGTTGTAAAACTATTAACTCAACTCTTGAGCAAGCACACTATAATTGCTTGCTCAAGACATTTTTAATAGAGCTATATAAATTACAAATACAAATATACATGTTTAATTTGTGTACTTTTCTGATTTTCAATAACATTTGATAGACATATGAACCTTAGGGGGGTGTTTCAGTAGTAAAGGGTATAAAATCATATACTACCTTACTAAGATGTAAGACTGAGAAACCTAAAAGTCAGAGGAGCAATGATTGAATATTCATTAAAGCAAAAACAACAAAAGATAAATGTACTTAAAAAGTGACATTTTGCCATAATTACTATAAAATTTCTATTTATTATTAATTTCAAGGTAATGACTGGTCACTAATAGTGAGGATGGTGATTAGGAACAAAAATAAATTCTTAGATGTCTTTGGACCTTCCTTATCTGTCATGGATCTTTGGGTTATAAGGACTGTCTTTCATTTCATTTATGCTGTTAGTGGCTTGTTTACTATTAATGACTTTGGATGGACCTCATAATGGCCCAGGTTTTTCTGGTCATATATTTCTTAGGGTATCATGTAGATGGCCCAGAAAGCCATTTGGGTCTATGTACAGGCACATCAAGCAGCATATCCTCTTCATTCTATGAGTTCTTTAAGTTTATGGTCCTTCTTCTCAATAACACTTTTTTCCCCAAAGAAACCTTTTATTTAATGAGCATAAATTTCATAAGTACAACTTTAGGAATATAGAGATTCTTTCCACCATACCCATTCTCCCACCACCACTCCCACCCCGTCTCTTCCTCCCTCTCCCATTCCCAGTCCCATTCCCTATTAAGATTTGTTTTCAATCAGCTTTATACACAGAAGATCAACTCTATACTAAATAAAGATTTCAACAATTTGGACACCTACAAACAAAATATAAAAACTGTTTGAGAACAAGTTTTACAGTTAATTCTCATAGTACAACTCAACAGGACAGAGGTCCTGCAAGGGAATTGCACAATTTTTGCTAATTTAACAGTTAACCCTCTTATGTATGATGTCAGTGATCACCCAGGGCTCTTGAGATGAGTGACAAGGCTATGGAAACCTTTTGGGTCTACATTCTCTGTCAGTATTTAGACAAGGCCATAAGCAAAGTGGAAGTTCTCTCCTCCCTTTAGAAAATATTACATCCTTCTCTGATGGCCCCTTCTTTCCACTGGTGTCTCACTCACCAAGATCCTTCATGTAAGACATTTCTGTTGCCTGTGTCTTGGCTTTCCATGCCTGAAATGATCTCATGGGCTTTTCAGCCAGACCAGAATGCCTTAAGGGTTGATTCTGAGGTCAGAGTACAATTTATAGCAATTTTCATTCTAAGAGTCTGCTGTGTGGGCTGCTTCCCATGTTGGAACATTCTCTCCTTCTTAATTCTATGTATTGTTATTACCAGAAACTTGGTCTTTCAATACCACGCTAATAACCATATCGTGACACTATAATCAGCAAGAGATAGTCTGCATCTGATTTAACTTCAATATACCATTTGCTTATTTAGGCTGTTTTAATTTTTTCCCTTTTTTTTTTTTTGCCACATAATACCATTCTGCAATCACATAGAAACGATATTACAGTACCCCTATTGTGTTTACACTATATTCTGCCTCTATTCCTTTAAACCTTTTCTGCCCTATCTCCCTTATAAGCTTTCCATTCCCTTGGTTTCCTTGTAAAATGTACTTACCCTTCAAGAGTCAGTTCAAGTGTAAGCCCCATGTGACAAATGTGGGTTCTCCTTAGTCAAGGTGATGAGTCCTTCTTATGTTTACTATTCCTTCTACTTTAAACATTTTTTCACTCATTTGTTGAATTGACTTCCCTCAAGAAGAACATTTCCAAAATGTAGACAACATATAATCAACTTCTTTTTAATATATGTAAAAATATGTCAGCACAGATCAGTGGATCGTAAAGAAGGGGAATGTGTTAGAACCTAATACACTTTATCTAGAATTATCCAGGGAAAAATGAACTTTGGAAACTTTGTCAAATGAGGAGCTAATTGTCCTTTTGCGCCTTAAAAATATCAGCACATCTTGTTGACAAAAAAGAAATTGAATGTTTTCTTATAGTAACAGAGAATGCTACTGCTACAAAGTCTTAGTCTCAGGGTCTCAGAAAAAGAAAGAGCAAATTCAGGACATTTATGAGATTTGGTTTAAACCATATATTTTAATATGGAAGGTTGAAAAGAATTTGATAAAGATTATAGTATAATCATTTAGTTTTGGTAGATATAGCAAGGCAAAGGGTTTCTGAGAGACTTGGTATTTAAACTGTCTGGATACATTTTATTTAAGAGTTGATGGCTGTTTCCAAAAGTTTCTTGAATGAACTTTCAGGTTTCTTATAACTCTTAACTTCAAAGAAGGAGTTTTCTACAATACTAAGGTTGTGTTTCTAAAGAATGGACTAGGAATTTTGTGCTAATAAAATAATAAAGCTCTGTTGCTTTGGATGGTTGCAGCTACCAGAGTTTCCCGTGGTCATTCTTCAACCTGAGCTGACATGTAGTCATTAACATCTTGGGTGTGGTCAGTCCAAACTTTCATACCTACTTAAGATATAACAATGGTATATTCAAAAGAAATTATGGTACATATACACCATGGAATACTACATAGTGGCAAAAAAAAAAATCCTGTTGTTTGCAACAAAATAGATGCAACTTGAAACTTACTTAGTGAAATAAGCCAATCCCAAAAGATCTGTAAAAGTGAGATAGACTCAAAATAACATACTATTGTGTTCTATTCTCTTACAAGTTCTATTTATGTTGAAATTTGGCTACAAAAACTAGTTCCTACATAAAAATCAGTATTATCTCAGTGGAGATAAACTCCTTCCCCCTCTAAGATTGACCTAATCTGAAGCTTTGAATTTCCATATGAAATTGTCATTTGAAAAGTCACTTAATAGTTGAGTAATGTTACACAAGAAACCTACAGATTCACTACTAGGTAATGTGGTTGGCTACCAGAGAAAAATGTGTTCAAAATGTATACAAAATTGTTGTGATTGCTTGCTTTAGCTAGTTCATAAGTAAGTAACAAGGTACTGAACACACACCAATGAATGATTAGGGATTCAAACAGCAATATTAAGAATATGAATACAAATAACATAGTTAGAAGAAGCCTTCATTGGGAAAAAAGAAGAAAATAAAGAACAAAAGAAAGTAAATTAAAGTGTGGCCATCGATCTTGTTCTGTGTATCTTGGATGGAAGCTCTGTACCTCTCATGTGGATACAAGTCTTACATGGAAGAGAGCTCTTTCAGAGCACTGTATATCTAGAAAGTTCCTTAAAATTCTCAACTTGGTATTTTCCAT